CGGGGAGACGAACATATACGTGGAAGTAAGAATGGCTCAGGAAATTAGAAAAACATGAAGACACGTGGATTCTCTTTTGGCGCTTGTAATAAAAATCAGGTGTAAGTATTCTTGCTGTCAGAAGAAGGAGCCAACCCCTGCAGAACTGGAACAGAGCTACGGATGACATTTCTTCAAAGTCTTCAATCTTAAATTCACATTAGTTTTCTTTGTACTTCATGATAGATCTGTGTCATAATGATAGTAACTAAAACTTAAATAGCACTTACTGTGCACCAGGCACTGTTCTTTTTTTTCTTTTAAGATTTTATTTATTTATTTGACAGAGAGAGAGAGAGAGCACAAGTAGGCAGAGAGGCAGGAAGAGGGAGAGGGAGAAGCAGGCTCTCCGCCGAGCAGGGAGCCCGATGCGGGGCTCGATCCCAGGACTCCGTGAGCATGACCTGAGCCGAAGGCAGCCACTCAACCGACTGAGCCATCAACGCGCCCCTTCACCAGGTACTGTTCTAAGTACTTTCCACAGACTAATCTTCACCATAATTTCCTAAGACAGGTACTAATACTACCCTGGCTTGACACTGAGAAAACTCAGGCACAGGGAAGTTAAGGAACTCCTTAAGGTCATGAAGCTTATAAGTGGTGGAGCCAGGATTTGATTCTAAGACTGGCGCAGAGAAGGTGCTCTAAATAACGACACGTAAATATTGAAAATATTGCCTCACGTTTTCATGAATAAAACTGACATTCCAGAAAGCAGTATGTGTTTTATCCTGTGGTTTCAGCACCCCCACTGGGTGCCACTAGAGGTCCGCAGAATCCAGGTAGAAAACTACTGATCTAGAGGACAGAAGTGCCAGCCACGGCCCCAGAATAACATGACCAAGGAAGAGATCCCAACTCTTGACACCCAATGACACAGGGCTGGCCCAGAGCCAGTGGCATTTCCTCAAAAATCCAGACTCCTGGAAGAACCAATAGAGAGCAAGTTAATCAGGAAATGAAGATGCAAAGAAAGGAAGTGAGGGCTTCAGGGTCGCAAAACATGTGGCCACAGATCTGGAAAACAAGAACCTAACCAACATCCTGCCATCTTCTGATTCTCTTCCCCAGGGATCCTGTAGAAGGCAGATGTGAAAAGACTAGAACCTAGATACCTCTGCTGGATACTGGGATAGAAGTGTACATCGTTCTGGATTATTTCAGTGGCAGTTGTCAGACAGCAAACACGAACTGGTTTTTTGTAATAGAAAAAGTCCAGGAGTACCTGGGTGGCTCAGTCAGTAAAAGGTCCCACTCTTGATTTCAGTTCAGGTCACGGTCTTGGGGTCATGGGATTGAGCCCAGCGTTGGCTCCATGCTCAGCTGTGAGGCTGCTTAGGATTCTCTCTCCCTCTCCCTCTGCTTCTCCCCTCCCCTGCAAAAATAAGTAAATAAATTTTTTTTCAAGTCCATAAGGATTCAGGTATCACTGGATCCAGGGGTTCAAATGATGCTATCAAGACTGTGTCTACTGATTTTTTTTTTACTTTTCTGTATTTCCTTCATTGTTTAAATTCTACCTCCTTAAAAGGTGGCAACACAGGCACCACAAGCTCCAAGTTTATATCTCCCTTGCTTAGCCACCCCAGAGGGGAGGAAATTATTTCCCAATTGTTCCAGCAAAGGTCCTAGGATTGCACTGCATCTCATTTGGCCTGACTAGTGTCACTAATCCCTCCCCCTCCCTAAAACCAGTCACTGCAGCCTGGAGTGGCAGGGATGGAATGCTTTGATTCGCCAGGCCAGGGTTATCTGCCCACACTGGAACTGCAGAGTAAGGCAGCCCCACCAGACCACATGGACGGAGAGAGTGGGAGGAAGGGTAGTTCCCCAAGGGAAAATCAAAAGTGTTCTAACCAGAAGGAAGAATGGATGTTGGGCAGGCAAAATCAACCTGTTCAAGGTGGGCAGGGGCCCCAGATAATGGGTTACATGCACAGCAGCCCATCTGGGTGGCTTTACCCTCTTACACTGGGTCACTGGGTTGTATGAATGCCCTTAAATCAATTAAGCAAACATTTCCTGAGTATCTGCCACGTACAAGGTCCAGCACCCTTCCACATAATAGATGGAGAGCAAGACATGCCCCTGCCACCAGTCCCATAAGGCAATTACCAGCCCTGAGCTATCGCTTCCTCCCATAGGAGCGTAACAGGCCAACTCTTCTTCCTCTCTCAGAAACCAGTTCTGATGTCATCTTCCATGAAGCCTTCTCTTGACTACCTCCCCTGTCGGAGTTAGTCACCCTCCGTCCACCTCTGGACTTGGTACATACTGCTATTGTTACCACACTGTGTCATAATTTATTGGTTCTCCTCTCTGTCTCTCCCAATGATGAGTGGCACCTCGGTATCCGCAGTGCCCGCTATATAATAGATGCTCAAAAATGTTTGTTAACCTGAGGTAAAATGAGTTTCCAGGAATGGCCCAGCTTCAGTCTTCTATGGAGTATTCTCGAAACTATTTAGCTTTCCTTCCCAACTGACTTTCCTTTTAAGAGCTAGTTTGCCACTACCTGAATTCAACTGAACTAATACACATTTGAATGTCTATCACATGCCAGATAGTGTTGGGCTTTGGTAATTCAGAAATTAACAAGATACCTTTCAAATTCGGCAGTCTAAAGAGGTCAGAGCCAGCTCTTCTACCAGAATTTCTTTGGCTGGAAAAAGAAATCTCAGCCCTGGTTTCTACATTACATTGTGAACTGGTCATTCTCCCTCTCTGGGCCTCTATTCCTCCAGGAGGGAAGGCCTGACTTGGTGTAAAATCTGTAATTTAATAGATGTATACGTGTTGAATTAAACTTCACATTTCCATTTGCCTAGGCTATAAACCTTGGAGTAATACTCAATCTTTTTTTTTTTAAGATTTATTTATTTACTTGAGAGAGAATGAGAGAGAGAGAGAGCACATGAGAGGGGGGAGGGTCAGAAGGAGAAGCAGACTCCCTGCTGAGCAGGGAGGCTGATACGGGACTCGATCCTGCGACTCCAGGATCATGACCTGAGCCGAAGGCAGTTGCTTAACCAACTCAGCCACCCAGGTGCCCAGTAATACTCAATCTTGTCTTTCTTCCACACACCTATTCAATCTGTCCACAAATCCTATTGACTTTACCTTCAAATCCAGGATCCAACACATCTCCCTCACTCAATCTGGTACAATCCATCAACATCTCTTCCTAAAATCATTGCCATATCCTCTGTCTGGTCTCCTTGCTTCTACCCTTGTTCCTTTACAGTCTATTCTTACACAGCAGCCAGAGTGATTCTTTAAAAATGAAAGTTCAGGGCTCCTGGGTGGCTCAGTTAGGTGTCTGTCTTCGGCTAGGTCATGATCCCAGGGTCCTGGGATCGAGTCCCATGGCAGGCTCCCAGCTCCGCAGGGAGTCTGCTTTTCCCACTGCCCCTCCCTCCACTGGTTCTCTCAATCTTTCTTGTTCTCTCACTCTCTCTCAAATAAATAAATAAAATCTTAAAAAAAAAAAGTTCAAACCTGCCAATAGTTCCTCATCTCATTCAGAGTAATGAGGAGCCCCATATGGTCCACCTCTTCTCACATCCCACTCTCATGTCTATTCCAGCCAAGCTACACTGACCTCCTTGCTGTTTCTTAAACACACTAGCCATGTTCATACCCGATGGCCCTTCCACTGATTTTTCCCTCTGCCTGGAATACCCCTTTTCTCTGGATAGCTGTATGACTGACTCACTCATTTCCTTCAAGTGTTTGGACAAAAGTCACTTTCTCAGTGAAGCCTACTCTGACTGTCCTGTTTAAAATGGCAAACTCCCATCCCCCCTTCCTGTTTACCTCCACAACAATCATTCCCTTCTTTTTTTTTTTTTTTAATTAGTCTTTTTTTTTTTTTTTAAAGATTTTATTTATTTATTTGAGAAAGAGAGAGTGAGAGACAGCACGAGAGGGAAGAGGGTCAGAGGGAGAAGCAGACTCCCCGCTGAGCAGGGAGCCCGATGCGGGACTCGATCCCGGGACTCCAGGATCATGACCTGAGCCGAAGGCAGTCGCTTAACCAACTGAGCCACCCAGGCGCCCAACAATCATTCCCTTCTAACATACTACAGAATTTACTAATTTTATGTCCATCTCCTCCCACTTAACTGTAAGCTCTGTATCTATTAATTAAATATCTGCTAATTCATTCAATTAATTGAATACTGATGTCTATCATGTGCCAAGCACTGTCCTAAGCCATGGAGCTACCAGGTGATTAAGACAGTTTATAGGTCTTGCGAGGGAAGAAATCCTAATGGTTGGTGGTAGTAGCTCATTTATTGAGTGCTTCCTCTGTGTTAAGTACTTGCCATGCATCCTAATAATAATGATGGCTAACATTTGTTAAAACAGACCCTGTTCTACATGCGGTATCTCATTCAATCCTCACCAAGACCTTTAAGGTGAATATTACCAGCCTCGTTGTAAAGAGCAAGAAACAAGATTTCAAGGCTCAGAAGGAGCAGAATCTGGATTTGAACTAAGGTGATGGCAGGAGAAAGATTTAGGACCTAGGGTCCACCAAACTAGGTGAAAGATTGGTTGTGGGGGGATCGAGGGAAGGAAGGAAATGACTCCCAGGTTTTGACCAGGGGGGACCAAAGAAAAATAAGGCCGAAGACAAAGACGAAAGCCCAGTTTGGGACGCGTTGAGTTTGAGGCGCCTGCGGGCCACTCCTGGCTACGGTCCATCTCGGGCAGGAGCCGAGAGGCGGTTCCGGCCCTTTCCCTCGGGCCTGAAGAAATGCTGGGAGAAGGCACGCACGGGAAGAGCAGGCGGTGACTTCCCTCCCTCTGGGGTCTCGGAGCAGCAGCTGCAGGAAGGGCGTAGGGGACCGTGAGACAAAGAGCGCGCAGCCACGGCCTTTGTCCGCGCGGCCCCTTTAAGAAGCGCGCCCCCAGCTTCCAGCCCGCCTTGTATGCAAATTTGGCGGCCAGCGGGAGCGCGCGGCTGATACCCGGGGACTGGGCTGCGGCGGTTAGTCCTCTCCCGGCCGCCGTCGCCTCCGACATATTGCCCGCAGGAGCTGCGGCGGCGGAGCGGAGAGCGCCGGGGGGAGGAGATGGGTGAGCGGAGCGGTTCCGGCTCGGCCGGGGAACCGGCGGGCGTGGGGGTCGGGATGGCCAAGATGCTGACTGCTCCCCCACGCGGACAGGATCCCGGCGAGGGAAGGGGGAGGGGATGCGGGGCACAGAGGGACCCCGCCCCCTCCTGTCGCTTTGCGGGGTGGGGCCTCGCTTGTGGGGGCGGGGCATTGGCACGGGGGGCGGGACTTCTAAAATGGAGAGGGCCTGTGGGGGCATGGGCTTTGGGGGGCACCCGCTCACCTGGGCTAGAAGTGGGGACGGAGCTCAGCGGTGGGCGGGGCCTTGGTGCTAGGGCGGAGCTCGTGGGCTCGTGGGCAGTTGGCGCTTGTGCGGGGGCGAACTTTCTGGGCTGTAGCGGCTTGGCACTGGGGGAGATGGGGCGGGATGGAGACCTTCCAGACCGCGGGAGTCCATTCTGGAGCGGAGCTTCTGGGCAGAGAGAGCTTTTATTGGCTTGTGGGCGGGTTTTCTAGGCTGACAACAGTGTGTAGGCGGGGCTTCTGGGCCCAGGGGCTTTATGTGGGTGTAGAGCTTCTAAAGAGAGGAGAGTAGGTGTGGGCAGAGCTTTTGGACTGAGGGTGCATGTGTGAGATGTTTAAACCAGGTATAATAGGGTGTAATAGTATATGAAGAGGGCTTCTGGGTTGGGGGCTGGTTGGGTGCAGAACTCCTGGACAAGTACTTTTTGGAGACATGTGGGAAAAGCTTCTGAGCTGGGAAGCTAGGGCAAGGGGTGGGTGTATGTGTGTAGGCTGTGTTGCTATGAGGAGGTTTGAACAAAGCTGTAACTTTGATTAGGCCTTGGGTGGTGCTTCGGAGCTTTGTGTAGGACCTTTGTGCAGGATGGTGCCTGGGAGCTTGGACTAGACTGCTAAGCCTAGAGAAATAGGTTTTGGATCCACAACCACAGCATTCTCCCAGAGCCCACATCCTTGACCCTATGCTCAGGCTGTGGTCCTGACCATGAGACGCCAGGCTCTCAGCCTCTGGTCCTGACCAACCATGAGACACCTGTTGAGCTGGATCTTGGACTCTGGAGGAAAAGGCTTCAAGGGTGCCCCAGATCCTAAGCCTAGAGAGACTTGTAGTATCTGAACAAAGCAGTGTACACCAGAGCTAAGAGCTCAAGCCTCAGACCCCAAACTACCTGTGACACAGTATAAACTCAGTTTCCTAATCTGTGGAAGACCTACTTTGCTGGGTTCATTCACTCGTCAGCATACACTTACAGGGCACTTACTTTATGCTGGACACTGTGATGGAAGGAGGGGGTACAGCAGTAAAAAAGACAGAAAAGGGTAATGACCTCACTGACCTTCTGGTCTTGTGAGAAAGACAGACAATAAATGTGTTAACAAATGAATGAGATAATTCCAAGAGTGAATTGTTGTGGGAAAAAAAATAGAAATGAGAGAGTTATGGGGGCAGGTACTTTAAAAATGGCAGTCAGGGAAGGGCTTTGTGGATAGGATACAGCAAGTACAACAGGTAGCAACAGGTTTGGTTTGCTTAAGGAGAGAAAAGACAGGATGGCTGAAGCATGGAGGCCAGTCAGAGAATGGTAGGAGATGAGGCTGAAGAGGTAGGCAGGGGCCAGGTCAGAGGTCTCTGTGATTAATGATGGAAGGAGGCACCAGGTAACCAGTAGCCAGTATTGCTATTACCCTTGATCTCTGCCCTCGGGCTTGAGGCTCTACCTTATGTTGAGTCCTACAGGAGGACGAAGAGGTCCCAACAGGACATCCTACTGTCGAAATCCTCTGTGTGAGCCAGGATCTTCAGGGGGCTCTGGTGGGGGCCATACTTCCAGTGCATCGGTCACCAGTGTCCGTTCGCGCACCAGGTAAACCACCTCTGTCTCTTTCCCCTCACTATGGGCTCCCGGGGGCAATACAAACAAAGCTCTCCTTCACTGGGCTCGGGCTCTAGGATTGGAGATGTCAGATGGGGGTTTGAGTACAGCGAGCAGCAAAAAAGAAGACTCAGAAGTGATGGTCACTTGGGCAGATGCAGTGTGATATAGGGTAATAAGCCCAAAGACCTGGATTCCAGTTACAATCCTGCTCCTGGTTTGCCGGTGGCTTGAACAAGTTGTTTCCCCTCTCTGGGCCTCCTTTTCCTCATCTGTCAAATGGATCTAATAATTCTTTCCTTCCTGGGGAATGTTGGAAAGCCCGGATAAGATTAGGGTTAGGAAAAGTCTCTGTTGGCTCCTTTGTCTGACAGGCAGGATTAGGAGGACTCCCATCCTTGCCAGGAGCTGCTTTGCTGATCCAACCCCACCACCCTGTGTCCTGGAAGGCCTTCTTTGATGGGGTTCTCAGGTCAGCTCTTGTTGTTTTTCCCTGCCCACCTCCCAGGAGCAGTTCTGGGACAGGCCTCTCCAGCCCGCCACTGGCCACCCAGACGGTTGTGCCCCTCCAGCACTGCAAGATCCCCGAATTGCCAGTCCAGGCCAGCATTCTGTTTGAGTTGCAGCTCTTCTTCTGCCAGCTCATAGCCCTCTTCGTTCACTACATCAACATCTACAAGACAGTGTGGTGGTATCCGCCCTCCCACCCACCCTCCCACACCTCCCTGGTAGGTTCCCAGCTAGGACCACCTTGTGTGTGTGTGTATGTGTGTGTGACATTTGGTTTCAGTTTAACCCAGCTTACCAAGTGCCCTGTACGCTTGGCCTCACGCTGGAAATGGAGAGTGTGGAAGGAACAGGAAGCGAATGATTCCTGGATGCTCACCCCTGATTGCTCAGTACCGTGTTAGGCATTTGAAAGGTAGCAGAGATAAATCTGGCAGATGTTGCCTAAAAGAGCACAGAATCTTAAGTCCTGTCGGGGAGGAGAGCCACGGGCATACATGAGTTTCAGGAGTGGAAAGATCTCCATGCCCAGAAAGAGGTGCAGGGACGGGGCACGGGTGATCAGAGCAAGAGGGCTCACACACCACTCTCTCATCTCCAGGGACTGTCCCACTTCCCTCCTCTCGGTCCTGTTCTGCTCCTCTAGGTAATTTCCTGGCCTGATTCAGCTGGAGGCCTGTGAAGGTCAGAGAGTGGGGACAGTCCGTGTGGAAAGGACTTGGCAGGGGGAGGTAGGGATGAAAAAAGCCCGTACATGGGCAGGGGGCCCACGTGACCCCCAGCCTCTGCCCACCCCCGACAGAATTTCCACCTGATCGACTTCAACTTGCTGATGGTGACCACCATCGTTCTGGGCCGCCGCTTCATTGGGTCCATCGTGAAGGAGGTGATTGGGTCCCAGAGGCTGGCCGGGGACCCTGGGACTCCCCTTTCCCCTGGGGGTACCAAGAAAGCATTCCAAGCCCTTCAAGCCTCAGGCAGTTCCTTGGGGCTCCCTTTGAACTTGGTTGGAGAACATTACATCCCACCACTCTTGGAGCTTACGGGGCATCGAGGAAAAGGATTCGCCTTGCCAGGTTCACCAGCCCGGCCTGCTGCCCCACGTTCCCCTGGGTGGGATCACAGACCGTGCCGGGTGGGATGTGGGCACAGCCCCGGTGGCCTCCATCCAAGGCCCCATCCGTCCTGTCTCGTCCCGACCCAGGCTTCTCAGAGGGGGAAGGTCTCCCTCTTTCGCTCCGTCCTGCTGTTCCTCACCCGCTTCACCGTTCTCACGGCAACAGGCTGGAGTCTGTGCCGCTCCCTCATCCACCTCTTCAGGACCTACTCCTTCCTGAACCTCCTGTTCCTCTGCTATCCGTGAGTACCCCTCACTTCACCCCCTCACTGCCTAGCACCCAGCTCCTGACCTCTGCCCTGAGTGTGGCTGGGTCAGCAGACCCCCGTACCTGGAAGACTCAGGGAAGGGCAGCAACAATGTCCTCCCACACTGTCTGACAGCATCCCCCTGAGAACAAGAGGATTAGCTTTCTTTTGCAAGAGCAGAAACTGAGAGAGCAGGCATAATTTACCCTAGGTGCCACCAGTGGGGAGGTCAGAATGGGACTCAGATCTGAACGTATATGCCAAAGGAACGTTCCTGATGGGGATGCATGGGCTTCGTCTCTCTCTCCTTTCCTTTTCTCTCTGGTTCTTTCCTTTTTTGTATCCTAGTGTTTATGTAATCTCTCGGTGCCTCCCCCAGGTCTGTGTGCATGCAAGCACCTGCGTGTGGAAATGTTTCTGTGTGGGTGTCTGTGCATGAAATGTCGGGGGGGGGTGTACCTGCACGTGCCACGTGTGTATGTCAGTCTTCATGTCTGTTTGCTCACTCACTCCATCTCACCAGAGCTCAGGTTGTTGAGGATGGGAAGATCCTGTCTGGGAGGAACCCAGGACTGCCCCCTTCTGGCCTAGAACTGGGGAGAACTTTGGCAAGACGTCCATTCTGGCTGTTCCTGGTGCAGGCTCCTGGCTCCCTGGGCATTTACAGTCATTTCCCAACCCCGGAGCTTTCTGGTTCATGAATTTCCTCAGGCTGGGCCAGTTCTCTGTCCTGGGAAGCTTCAGAGCCAGATACTCATCCCTCTCTACCCTGCATGACCAAAAGGGTTCTGTCATGGGAGGAGACCCATCACACTTGTTTCAGTTATTACTAGTTTTTAATTGTAAGAGTGACACATGTGTCTTATAAAAACATTGAACTTTACAGAAGCTTCTAACGTAGAAAATGAAAGTCCTCTTTAATATCAGTCCTCCAGAAAACCATTATTTGCAGCATATCCTCCCAAATTTTTTCTGTTCAAGCATACTCACATACACTTTTTTTTTTAACAAAAAGGGATTAATCTATGCATGATGCTGTACAATTTACTACATTTTTCGCATAATCCTATAACTTGGGTATTTTTCTATGGCAATACATACAGGTCTGCCTCATTTTTTTAACGGCCTCATAGTATTCCATTATATAGATTTTTTCACAGTTGTTGTATTTGCCTTCTATTGGTGACCTTTCGAGGTGTTCCTGGCTTTTCCCTATTGGAGACAATGAGGTAGGGAACCTTCTTTTGCATACACCTTTGACCACTTGTCCAATAGTTCTGTACAACAGATGCCCAGAAGTAGAATTACTGTGCCGAAAGGTGTAGTCCATAGATACTAACAAATGACCCTTCAGGGGTTGTACTGGTTAGAGCCGTCAACAGTTGCCTTAATTTTTTCACCCTGTGGTTACTATCCAGTGAATCCATTCTCCTCGGATACAGGTATCACCCAGTAGTCATATTTTGCTTTACTTTTTTATTTCATTTATAACTTTTTATTAACGTAAGGCAGGCATATCCTAACAAATCAGTCCAGGAGTGCTAGAAAGCTTATGGTGAAAAGCAGCCTCCAACCCCACTTTTCAGCTTTTTAGTCCCACTCCTCCAAAGCGATCTCCTTCCGTGTTTCTGGCTTTCACTGTTTTTTGAGTTACGCCCATAATTCTAGTATCCTTGTGCCTTTATTCCTTTTAAAAACATATGATTGATTTGATAGTTGGATAATAGGTTTACAGAATTAAAATTCAACATGTATAAATATGTGTAGAATATATACATTCAAAATGTGTAAAGAACATAGAATGAAAAAGTCTCTCCTCGGCTCCTGTCTGTTAGCTGCCCAGTTTCTCTTCCAAGAGGCAACTACCGATATTTCTGGTTTCTCATATATCCTGGAAATAAGTGTTTTATGCATATACAAGCCTATCATACACACATACATGCACACATTCATTGATTCCTTTCGATGACAGATGAAGATTTACTTAGTTCACCCTTCCATCCATACCATTCCCAGTATTTTATAACTGTTATTATTATTCTCTATTCCAGTAATGTCAGTATGCCTGTATTTTTTATTTCATCAACAATAGTATCTTAATCCTTTTTATGTAGACGGTAATATTAGGAACGCTACACATCCACTTTTCCTCCCCTCTTCCTCCTCTCACTTCCTGGCAGCTATAGTCTTATATATTAAACTTGACATTCATATTCTCCTATATAACCACATTTAAGTCTTCCATTCTTTGTCTATGGTTAATTCTAAAAACTAAAAAGCAGTAAGTAGTCTTGATGTTATTATGAGTAACGAAAATATTGTTCACCTCAGGGCCAAGTAGTGTGCATAGATGATATTCCTTCTCTATAGTTACTGAGTTTTAATCTTGGGCCTCTTAAAAAAAGAAAGTTCCTCATGTCAAGGTCAAATGGTTTCTCTTTTCTTACATTCCATCAGTTGCTTAATATCATGTCACATTTTAGTTTGCTTCATATTTAGATTGTAACTTTCTTATACAGCCTTTTTTTTCCCTTGGAGTTCTAATTGCCTTTCTTTTTTCTTGTTGACAAAAGAATGATGGGCCTTCAACATATCCTCCAGTTTATCCAGCCTCTCAATCATGCTACCTGTTGCCTGGAGTCCATTTTTCCCCCTAAAGACATCCCTCCTGGAGCCCTCCATCCTCCTGCTCCAGTCTGGAGTGGTTGTTCTTTAGGCCTGCTGTACAGCTCTCAGCCTGGGACTTCCCTTCGCTGCCCTCCTGGGTTGGATCCACTGTTTCCTGGATCCCATGTCTTCCTCTTTCTTCCTCTTCCTCTTATTTTGCTGGAGTGCATTATCAGGTAATTTCCTTAACAATGGGTATGTGGGAGGTACATACATTCTGAGGCCTTGCATGTCTAAAAATGCCCTTATTCTGCCCTCATACTTGATTGATGGTTCAGCTAATGTAGATGTCTAAGTTCAAATTCATATTCTCTCAGAAGTTTGAAGATATTACTCCATTGTCTCTAGCATCCCATGTTTCTAATGAGAAGTCTGATGCCAGTTTGATTCCAGTTACTTTGTGGATGACTCGTTTTCCTTTCTGAAAATTTTTAGAGATATCCTGTTTATCTTTTGATTATTGAAATTTCACAAGGAGGCGTCTGGTGTGGGACTTTTGTCATTCATCTTATCAGTACTCTAGGACTCTTTTAACCTGGAGATTTGGGTATATCTTCAGATCAGGAAAATGTTCTCCTATTATTTCTTCGATAATATCTTCCTTTCTATTTTTTCTGTTCTCTGTGGGGCTTCTGTTTATCAGGTAGTAGAGCTCATAGATTGATTATCTGTTTCTCTTATATTTTCTCTCATATTTTTCATCTCTCTCTCCCTTTCTCCCTCCCCCTCCCCCCATCTTTCTGTCTCTCTCTCTCTCTCCCCCCTCTGTCTTTCTTTGCTCTCTCTTTTTACTTTGCCTTTAGGAAGATTTCCTCAACTTTATCTTTCAGCTTTTTTATTGAGTTTTTCAGCAATCATATTTTTCATCTCCAAGGCCTCTTATTTCCTGATTGTTCTTTTCTCATAGCATTCTGTTCTTGTTTTAAAAATCTCTTCTGTTCCCTCAATTTTGTATTTTCACTGGGGTCAGTTTTTTGTTTCATGCTGCTAGTTTTCTAAGCATAGTTTGTTTCTTTGGTTGTCTCTTTACACTGACAAATGAAGGACTGAATAGTTGCAGTGCACTTCCTCTCCCTCTGCCATTATATATATATGTGAGTGGGAGGTTTGACTAGGAATTCTAAGTACACGAGCAGGACACACTGACTGGCAGACTTTGCTTTAGGATGAGGATGTGCAGTGCTAGTTGTCAGGTTGTGGGCCTCCATAGGCCAGAAGCCAGAGTGAGGGGGTTACTCTGAGGTGCTCCCATTAGAGACCACAGTTCTCTCTAGACAGTTTATTCAATTTTTTAATCTAAGAATTCTTCAGGGTAGGTTGTATGAGGTAAGAGAATAAAGGGACTGACTTTTACAAATAAATACAGATCTTTGTTTAATCCCATTTGTTCAGTCCTGCTGCTTGCTTCTACCCTTTATCAGCTGTGCCTACTTCAAGTCAGAGTCTCTCTTGGGTCACTAGGCAAATAAGCTCCTACCCCCAGTGCAGTCCTCTCATAGCATATTCTAGATCCACACCATCCAGTTTAGTAGCTTCTAGCCACCTGTTGTTACTGAACATTCGAAAGAGGCTAGTTTGCCTCTTTCCCTTCAGTGTGTTCTAAGTGTGAAATAAACATCAGATTCTGAAGACTTAGTACAAAAAAAGAAAGTAGGGGCGCCTGGGTGGCTCAGTCGGTTAAACACCTGACTCTTGGCTTTGGTTCAGGTCATGATCTCAGGGTTGTAAGATTGAGCCCTGCGTGGGGCTCCGCGTTCAGCGTGGAGTCTGCTTGAGATTCTCTGCCTTTCCCTCTGCCCCTTCCCCTCCTCAAATGTACTCCCGTGCATGCTCGTTTTTCTCTCTCTCTCTAAAATAAATAAAATCTTCAAAAAAAAAAAAATCTCATTTGTAAATAATGATTAGGTGTTGAAGTGATAATGTTTTGTATATATTGGGTTGAGTAAACTAGAGTATTAAAATTAACTTCATATTTTTTTTCCATGTGGCTACCAGAAAATTTCAAAGTACATATGTGATACTCATTATATTTCTGTTGGACAGCACTGCTCTAGATGATGGCTTCCTTCCTCATCTGTTAACATGTTTCCATCTGCTTTCTAAATTTGTCAAAATCACTTGTGAACTGATAACCCCACTCCCATTCTTTTTGCTGATAAGAATTTATTTTCTACTTTTATACCGTCACGTCTTGAGTGGAGAAGATGAGAGGGAATCTGCTGTCTTGCATGTGAAATAGCTTCTAACTTGTGATTTGTGGAGCAGTTACTTGCTGTCACCAAATAATTTAATTATATCTGCAGTCCTTCTTAGAGGCAAAACCAAGGAGATTCTTAAGTACTTGGCCATAAGTTTGGGTCTGAATCCCTTATATGTTCCTGTAGGTGCCCCACTCCTTCATTCCCAGAAGGTGTCCTGAAGAGTGTTGTGGGAATCCCATTGCAGTCATCTTTTCTATCCCACAGAATCACTGGTCTCTCTTTTCTAAACGAAATTTTATGAGTCTTGTACTTTGAATCAAGCACCGTGATGAGTGTTGTTGCAAGGTTTAAAGAAAGTATTTATGAAAACACTACGTGTAATGCCTGAGTGTAGAGAATCAATACGAGCTATGTAACTTAGGGCAAATTAAGGAAACTGAGGCTCATAGAGGTTAAATAACTTACCCTAAATTACAGTACTAGTAAGTAGCAGAGCTGGGATTTTAATCCTGGCCTATTTGACCAAAGGTTATGCTCCTGACCACAGTTCTCCAAGTTATCTTACTTAACCTTACCCCAGGGAAGATGGTAACATCCCTGTTTTATAGACCAGAAAGCAAAACCCCAAAAAGGCCAACTGCTTACCCAAGGACGCTCATGTATCCCTTCTTGGAACATCAGAAAAAAAGGAAGAAAAAAGTTACTACTGATAAGAAAATGTAGCATTCTCATTGGCCCTAACTCCTGGGGGCAGCCAAGGGACCCTTTTGGGGCTGTGTCTGAGGACCCGGGGAAATGGATAAGCCCCAAGCTAAAAGAAGGAATGTCTATAAATAGCACCTACTACAATGTTCCATGGACCTTGCTAGGCATTTAGCTACTTCCCCCCCTTACTTACTTATTTATTTATTTATGTGTTTGTTTTTATTTAAAGTCATCTCTGTGCCCAATGTGGGGCTCGAACTCACAAGCCCCAGATCGAGAGTCCTGTGCTCCACCAGCTGAGCCAGCCAGGCACCCTGGCTCTTAACTACTTTTTTATAATTACCTACTTTCCTGGGCTTTGGGTCCACCTAGTTTTCTCCTCAAAAGATGCTAGTCATGCACTCAAAACACCCCTTGACTAATTAGCTCCAGCCCTAGGGGTACTGCTCAGGGAAAGGGACTTGTATTGTTCAAGGACCCATTTCAGGGGCGCCTGGGTGGCTCTGTTAAGCGTCTGCCTTCGGCTGAGGTCATGATCCCAGGGTCCTGGGATTGAGCCCCGCATCGGGCTCCCTGCTCGGCGGGAAGCCTGCTTCTCCTTCTGCCTGCCACTCCCCCTACTTGTGCTTTCCTTTCTCTCTCTGTCAAATAAATAAATAAAATCTTTAAAAAAAGGGGGAGGTGCCCATTTCAGTGCCAGGCACATAATAGGCACACAATAAATACTATTCCTGAACCTCCTTTCTCCACAAGCTGAAGAGCTGCCTCTTGGTCTTTGGTACCAGATGGTTCTGGGTTTGAATCCAGGCTCTTTTGCTTTCTTACTGGTTGGGTAACCTTTGGGAAATCCACTTCACCTCTCTGAGCCACAGCTTCTTCAAAGGGGGTACAAAATAATAGTACGGAATGCATAGTGTTCTTAGGAGAAGCAAAAGAAGAGAACACATGTAAAGCGCTTAGTACGGTGTCTAGAGCATTGTGTGTGCCCAGTGAACGTGGGCTGTTAGGATCACTGTTAGTCAGCAGTAGACCATGAGGCAGGGCCCTCAGCTCCTGCTTCCTACTTTGTCCCTGATGCTCAGCACAGTGCTTGGCCTGCACTCGATGCTGATACCTATGTTGACTGATCAAAGGATGGCTGGATAGAAGGATGGGTACATTCTCCCCTCTGAGTAGCCGGGAGAGCTAAAGCCCAGGGAGGAAAGAAGAATCCTTCCATGGGTAAGGGTGGGGATCGTGGCCCACGGGCAGGCCTCCCCCTCACCATTGTCTTCCCCAGCAGGTTTGGGATGTACATTCCGTTCCTGCAGCTGAACTGTGACCTCCGCAAGACGAACCTCTTCAGCCACATGACCTCCATGGGTCCCCGGGAGGCGGTGAGTGGCCTGGCGCGGAGCCGGGACTACCTGCTGACACTGAGGGAGACGTGGAAGCAGCACACACGGCAGCTGTATGGGCCAGACGCCATGCCCACACACGCTTGCTGCCTGTCCCCTAGTCTCATCCGCAGCGAGGTGGAGTTTCTCAAGATGGACTTCAACTGGCGCATGAAGGAAGTGCTGGTCAGCTCCATGCTGAGCGCCTATTATGTGGCCTTTGTGCCTGTCTGGTTCGTGAAGGTGCGTAGCTCAACCCAGGGTGGGGGAAAGGGCCTGCCTGGGGCCTTGCCCTGCTGCCTGCCCCCCAGGAGCCCTCCTGCTTGCATGAATAACTGGGCCGTTGTTGATAAGATTCCCGTCTGTTCTCTTGAGGGCTAAAGTAACGACTACCTCGATTTTATTTTATTTTATTTTTAAGATTTTATTTATTTATTTGACAGAGAGATTCACAGTGAGAGAGGGAACACAAGCAGGGGGAGTGGGAGAGGGAGAAGCAGGCTTCCCACCGAGCAGGGAGCCCGATGTGGGGCTTGATCCCAGAACCCTGGGACCATGACCTGAGCCGAAGGCAGACGCTTAACGACTGAGCCACCCAGGCGCCCACGACTGCCTCGATTTTAGAGTGGCGAGAACAAGGCTCACTGAGAGGACGTGGCCTGCACGAGGTCACCTAGCCAGTGAGGGGGACAGGACATTGTTCATAATACTTGATAACAGAAAGCAGTGGTATATTTCACTAGGGCTGTTTTGGCCCAGGCCTGTCACGATGTGCAGCTGTATCATGAAGTAGGAAAGCCAGGACTCATCCAGACCCGAGCGACTCCAAAAGCCTGTGCTTTCTCTCCAGCTTGTATGGCCTTCTGGGAAGGTACCTCCCCGGCAGCCAGTAGGCTTGAAACATTTCTCCAGGGGTGGACTGCACTGAATGATTCAAGGCTGAGAGGACTTCATGTTTCTTGAGCACCTACAATGTGCTAGAGCTTTCAGGAGTGTAATAATCCTCCTACCACCTCTCAGAGGTGCTTGGTAGCTGTTCTTACAACGTAACAGAAAAGAAAGCTAGAGCACAGAGAAGTGAGATGACTTGCCCAGCGTCACGTAGTTAATAAGGAACAGAGCCAAGATTTGAACTCATGTCTTTTGGACCCCAGAGCCTGTACTCTGGCTCGGAGTGGTAGGCGGTGGGAGCAGTTTTGCTGTAAGAGGAGCTTATAGAGAACTGAGTAGTGGGCACAGGGTCTAGGTCCACGATTAAGCCCTCTTTGTTAGGTGTTTGATCCTTGGTCTCAGGCCCCCTGGAAGGCTGCCCTGGTTTCTAAAGCAGATCGAATCGTGGAAAGGGGAGGGAGTGAGGCCATTCTGGGCATCCCAGGCCTTACCCATCTCCTGCTGCCCCCAGAACACACATTACTATGACAAGCGCTGGTCCTGTGAGCTCTTCCTGCTGGTGTCCGTCAGCACCTCAGTGATCCTCATGCAGCACCTGCTGCCTGCCAGCTACTGTGACCTCCTGCACAAGGCCGCTGCCCACCTGGGCTGCTGGCAGAAGGTGGACCCAGCGCTGTGCTCCAACGTGCTGCAGCACCCGTGAGTTGCCCTCCACGTCCCTGCCCAACCCCAGTTCTCATGGTCCATGTCTGCAGAGCCACAGGCCTTCTCCCTCACCAGCTCATGCATTTAGTTGGCAGATGGTTGTTGAGCACATCTTGTAAGCTAGGCCTTGTGGCCAGAGTGGAGTATGGCTGGGCCCCAGGCAGACGTGTCCCCTGTGCTTAGGTAACTTGCAGTATGCTGGAGATGGGAGAAGGCCAGGCAGTAAATTCATAGACTCGTTGACTTTCTCATTCACTGACTGTTACTTACGCAGCTCACGGACCGATTTGCTCTTGCCTTCATTCATTGCTTCTCTCCTTCTGTTACCTGCTCACTTATCCGTTCAGTTATTAGGTCACCTCCTTTCCGGCAGACGTTTAACTTCTTCTGAAGCCATACCCGGCCTGGTGCTATGCCTTGGACAGAGGAGCTTGGACTTTGACCTACAGGCAGAGGGGGGCTATGGGAGGCTTTGGAACAGTAGAGGAACCCATTCCAAGGTGCCTTAGAACCATCAGTCTGGGCAGAGGATAGGGTACCACGTTAGCCGATGGAGAACCCTGGCCAGGGAAGCAGAGTCACAAAGAGAGAATGACCAAGACAAGGTCCTAGAGGAGGTCAGTCTGGTGCGGGTGACAGCCGCGAACACAAATGGTTATAGGATGATGGGAAGAAGGAAGCCCGGCTGCAGGACAGCACTGCAGAGACAGAAGCACCTGCTCAGGAGCCCAGCGTCCCCTCAGCCTGGCTCATCCTTCATGGTGCCATCCTCACAGTACTTTTCACCCAGGTTACCCTCATTTTTTCCTGCCTTTATCCCCCCATTAGACTGGAAGCTCTTCAAGTCTGGGCCCTCCTGAATCACATCTGAGCCTCGGGCCCAGCACAAGGTGTGGCAGAGAAGAGGCCCCTAGGACAGGTTTGTAGAGGTAGGTCCATCAAGAAGCAGAGATGCAAAGGGAGGCCACAGAGACGCCTGGCTGGCTCAGTCAGTAGAGCATGTGACTCTTGATCTGGGGGTTGTGAGTTTGAGCCCCACGTTGGACATAGAGATTACTTTACATAGATAGGTAGGTAGGTAGGTAGGTAGGTAGATAGATGATAGAGGAAAAGTAGCTAAATGCCTAGGACAGTCCATGGAACATTATAGTAGGTGCTATTTACAGACATTCCTTCTTTTAGCTTGGGGCTTATCCATTTCCCCAGGTCCTCAGACACAGCCCCAGAAAGGTCCCTTGGCTGCCCCCAGGAGTTAGGGCCAATGAGAATGCTACATTTTCTTATCAGTAGTAACTTTTTTCTGATGTTCCAAGAAGGGATACATGAACGTCCTTGGGTAAGCAGTTGGCCCTTTTGGGTTTTTGCTTTCTGGTCTATAAAACAGGGATGCTACCATCTTCCCTGGGGTAAGGTTAAGTAAGATAACTTGGAGAACTGTGGTCAGGAGCATAACCTTTGGGGTCACATAGCCCTCCATGCTAGTCAGGGTCCCTCCCAGGTTCTGTCCAAATGGTCGAGGGAAGGGGATAGACATTGCCAAATGGGCCTAAAGGGGACTCGGCTTAGCCTTAGCCTCTGAAGGGAGGGAGGAGTAGAAAGGTAGAATATAGGTGAACATGAGGAGAAACCTGTCTGTAGCTCACCATGATGGTCCACAGAGAAGACCCAGGCTCCTTCGCATGGCTTCCCAGCTGCTGAACTGGGCCCTCCCAGCCTTTTCTGCCTCCTCTCTGACCATGCCTTCCCTGTTCATACTCTGCTCTGGCCAGACCAGACTGCTTCGGATCCTCAAATTCTATATGCATGTTTGTATCCAGGCTTTGGCACATGATGCTTGTTTTGCCTAGAACACCCTTTCCACCTTTCTTTTCCTGATTAATTGCTATGCATCCTTTAGCAGTTTGCTTTCTCCAGGAACACTTTCCTCTCCACCCAGGATAGGTTCAGTGCCCCCTACCCCGTGCTCCCACAATCCCATAATATCATGATCATTGCACCCAACTCTTTCTGCTCTGTTTGCTCATTTACTTGCCTGTTATTCCAGGACTAAAGCTCCTGGAGGTCAGGGTCCTTGCCTGTCAAGCGCTCAGCCATCTCACTCCTGGCAGAGTGCCTGGCTTAAAATAGGTCCACAGTAAATTTTTGTGGTTTGTGTCTAGTCTTTTTTTAAGATAAAATTTTTATACGGTGAAATGCACAAATCTTTTTTTTAATTTAATTTAAATTCAGTTTAATTAACATATAGTGTATTATTAGTTTCAGAGGTAGAATTTGGTGATTCATCAGTAGCATATAACACTCAGTGCCCTACTTAATGCCCATCACCCAGTTACCCCATCTCCCCACCCACGTCCCCTCCAGCAACCCTTGGTTTGTTTCCTAGAGTTAAAAGTCTGAAATGCATAAATCTTAAAGTGTACAATTCTTTGAGTTTTGATAGTCCTGTACATCCATGTATAGGTAGACCTGTACCCCCTTGTAGAGGTAGGCCTGCCTGTACCCCCATATGTAGGCAGACCTGCACCCCCACATATAGACAGAACAAGATGTGTAGAACATTTAGAGCCTCTCAGAAAATTTCCTCGTGGCTCTTCCCAAAGACTGCCCCCCACTTACCACCACCACCCAGACAACCATTTTTCTATTTTCTTTCAAAACTAACCACAACCTCACATAAATGAAATCTTGGGTTCAGTTTCTTTTTCATTCAGCCTATTGCCTGTGAAGTTCATCCATGTTGTTAGATATAACATGATAACTAGTTTTTTAATTTTTTTAAAAAAAGATTTACATATGTATTAGAGAGATGAAGAGAGAGTGCACATGAGCAGGGGAGGGGAAGTGGGGGAGGATATCCAAGCAGACTCCCACTGAGCTTGGAACCTGACATTTCTCTCATGAGCCATGAGATCAGGACCCGAGCCAAAACTAAGAGTCAGGTGCTTAACCGACTGAACCACCCAGGTACCCTGATAACTGGTTTTTAAATGAATGAATCAACAAGGTAGGAACATGAGTTAGAGTTTTTTGTGATTCTCTGTCCTCTGGCCCAGGACCCTTGGAGTCCCTGGGAGATGTGGCAGAATTGGAAGAACGCACCATCCCACTCACATGCTCACTGAGGCCTCTCTGTGCCAGGCCTTGTGCCGTGCTCTGAGGACATAGAGATAAAATGGACACCACCCTTCCTTCAAGGAGTGAGGGATACAAGGAAATAAGTGACGAAACACTGGGGAAAGTGGACCAGTAGCAGGAGATTCAGGTTGCTGTTGAAGGAGGCTGAACTCTGTGGGGAGTTTGAGAAAGGCTTTCTGGAGGATCCTGAGTTTTAAAAGAGCTTGCCAGAAGGATACGGCATCAGGAAGGGCAGTCCAGTTGGAGGGAGTGACTTACACAGAGACATGAAACCGTAGGCTGTGCTGGAGAACTAGAAACCGCTAGGAATGGCTTGAGCACAAGCTATGCGGCCAGAGTCCTGAAAGTCCACACAGGGCCTCAGAGGCCACAACGAATCCTTGGGGACTTGACTCCAAGGGCACTGAAAACGCTTCAGAGGGTTTTGAGTGGAAAATAGGCTCAGCTTGGTGTTTTACAAAGACCACTCAGGCAGCTGTGCAGTGGACCAATTGGAGGCTAGAGGTGAGAGTAGGTGAGGAAAATGCAGGGCTCCCAGGTGGCTCAGTCGGTTGGGTGTCTGCCTTCAGCTTGGGTCATGATCTCAGGGTCCTGGGATCGAGGCCCGAGTCGGGCTCCCTGCTCAGCGGGAAGTCTGCCTCTCCTTCTCCCTTTGCCCCTCCCCTGCTCCTGCTTTCTCTCTCTCTCTCAAATAAATAAATAAATAAATAAATAAGAAAGAAAATGCACCCAAAAGGGAAAAGCGTTTTCTTAACAGCCCCCCAGACCTGAATCTCAACCCTAGACCTTCTGACTCCCATGAATTTCTCATGATTCTTACCCCATTTTTACAGAGGAGGCACCTGAGACCCAGGAAAGGAAAGTCACTGTGTCTAAATGATAGAAATGAGAATCGGGCCCTGGTGGTCACACCAGGCCCAGTCTGCTGGTAGCCCCTTTTGTGGGTGAGCTGGGTGTAAGGGGCACTGTTGGGCTGTGCCTCCAGGTGGACAGAAGAATGCATGTGGCCACAGGGCGTGCTGGTGAAGCACAGCAAGAACGTCTACAAAGCCGTGGGCCACTACAACGTGGCCATCCCCTCGGATGTCTCCCACTTCCGCTTCCACGTGAGTCTCCTCCCCTGGGAAGGAGGGGCAGGGCCTGATCTCAAGCAGGGAGGATCCCAAGGCAGGAGGGTGACGTCCTAGCGACAGAAAGCTATTTACAGTATTTCTCCAATCCAAAGGAAACCCCACATGTGCAGCACAGGACAGCCATACAAACGGTGATTCCATAACTGCAGTTTACTTGCTATAGCAGATCTTTGAAAACGTCGGGGGGAGGCGGGAAAGATGACACCATAAAAGGAGGGGTTCTTAGGAGCAAAAACCATAACTGTCCTCATTCATATGGTGTGCCGGGCACAGTGGTAAGCACCTGCCACACACCCTCCATTCAGCCTTCACCCGGCGCGTGAGAGAAGTGCCAGGGCTGTCGCCATTTTCTGAGACTGAAATTGGCTTAGGGTCTGACTTGTTCAAGGGTGCCTTGCTGGGAACCTTGGGGTCTGATAGTAAGGACTCATGGACTCAGCATTATGAAAAGAGCTGCTCAGAATCGCTGAGGCTAGTGGTCTCCATTTTATTTACTTATCTTGCTATCAAAATTCTTTTTTCCAGCACAGTCATAGACTAAAGTCTGGTATATAGGACCTCATGGCACCGCTCTATTTGAAAGGGTTGGGACTCCCTTCACTTCCCACTCACCACTGCCTTAGGCCCCAAAAGGGCCTCCTCAGATCCTGGGCTTCCAAGGAACACAGTTTGAGAAATTGATCTGGGTGATCTCTTCACAGTAGAGAAACCTGAGGCCCAGACAGGAAAGGGACTTGCCCAAGGGTCCTGCAGGCTGTCAGGTGCAGAGCTGAGCCTGAGCGTGCTGGTTTCTTGGACTCCTATTTCCTGCCATGTCTCTTCCCATCCTGTAAGCAGCTTTTGAGGTTTAGTTACCTTGGCCCCTGAAGAATCGAGATTCCCTAGACCTTGATCACCTCTTTGAAACTGATCAAAACATTCTTCTTGAGTCCCTGCACTCTACTCTGCTTTGTAAATACCATGTCAGAGTGAGGTGTCACCACATGCCCTGAAAGCTTCTGGCCTAGGTCGGGATGCTACCCATGAAGAAGTGGGTGACTCAGACTGTAAAGTCTATAATAACTTTCCATATCTATGTCATAAGATTCTAATTTGTTTGGTCCAGGCTGTAGCCAGGAGGATCACATATAAAAAGGTGTTGATTGTAGACCAGAAAAAGTTTGAGTGAGCAAGCAAGATCTCTCAAGAAAAGCTTCCTAGAGGAAGGTAGAAGTTCAACAAGATCTTAACTTCTGTGGGAAACAGTAGTCTTTTTTTTTTTTTTTTAAGATTTTATTTATTTATTTGACAGAGAGAGACACAGTGAGAGAGGGAACACAAGCAGGGGGAGTGGGAGAGGGAGAAGCAGGCTCCCCACTGAGCAGAGAGCCCGATGCAGGGGCTTAATCCCAGGACTCTGGGATCATGACCTGAGCCGAAGGCAGTCGCTTAACGACTGAGCCACCCAGGCGCCCAAACAGTAGTCTTGACAGAAGAAAGACCATAAGCAAAAGCAGAGAGGGTGGCAGAGTCCCCACCCACGTCTGCATGGGGCCCCAAGAGCCTGTCCCCTTCACTGGCCCCCCCAGAACCCCCATCCAGGAGGCAGGTTTCTGGAACATACTTTCTAGTCCCTGCCTACCCTTTCCTGGGCAGTTCTTTTTCAGCAAACCCCTGCGGATCCTCAACATCCTTCTGCTGCTGGAGGGTGCTGTCATTGTCTACCAGCTATACTCCTTAATGTCTTCTGAAAAGTGGCACCAGACGATCTCCCTGGCGCTCATCCTCTTCAGCAACTACTATGCCTTCTTCAAGCTGCTGCGGGACCGCTTGGTATTGGGCAAGGCCTACTCCTACTCGGCCAGCCCTCAGAGGGACCTGGACCACCGGTTCTCCTAAGCCCCAGGGTGACCCCAGGGACAGCATCCAGGCTTCAGCCAGGGGCTCTCTGGGAAGGGGCAGTTGGGGAGGGTTGGGTGAGGGGCAAAAAACCCCACAAAAACAGACAAAAAAATTCACCAGAGCTTTGTATTTTTGTTACATACTGTTTGTTTCTTTGATAATTGATGTGATTATGGGGGGGGGGAAAAAAGTCCTATTTTTATACTCCCATTAAGCCTGTGTGTCCTTTGTTTCTTTCCCTTCTTCTTGCCTATCAGGTAGAGAGCAGATGTTAGAGGTTAGGATTCTGGGCCAGGAAGCCCCATGTGTGGCTTCTGGGGCCCCTATGGGTCCTGCCTTCTCCAGTAGAGAAGAGATGAGGCACCAGAGGTCATGGTAACAGTGGTAGCTACTGATGGCTGAATGCTGTGTACTGGACATTAATCTTACGTGCATTATAGGCTTGTCTCAATCCAACTTTTATGACAACCCTAGGAGGTAGGTGCTGTCATTCCAATTCTATAGATGAAGAACAAACTCAGAGAACTCTAGTGACTTGCCAAAGGCAACACAGTAGTCAAGAAACCCTCCCAAAAGACAACACCACTATCCTAGCAGAATGTGATGTCCTGATTCTCTCAGCATGCAGTCACTGAGACCCTGCTCTGTGTCAGGTGCTGTGGTATAGGATGTCCAGACACAGAAACAAAAAAGTCATACTACACTGGGATGGGTATAACAGTTACAAGATACAGAGTAGCACAGGAGAGAATGTTTAATGCTCTCTGGACTTCTTGGAGGCGGGGATAGTCTTGAGTTGTCAGCCACTACCTAGGTGGACAAAATGGGGGAAAGGCACTTCAAGCAGAGGAAAGGACATACGGAATAGCACAGAGATTTGGAACATCCTGGTATATTTGGGGAGGGTAAGCAGAATGGTTCCTAGAGCAGGAAAGATAAGGAACATAGGGTGGGGATGGGGTGGGTCTGCAGGGAGGTGATGGATCAGGAAGGACCAATGGCTCTAGGCGAGGGAGAGAGTGTAAGCGAGGCCAAGTGCTAGAGTGGAAACAAAGCTGCTTGGAGAGCCCCCTGGCTCCTATAAGACAGGCTGGAGGGCTCAGGCTGGGAGAAAAGGACAGTCCTAGCCACTCATCTGCTCTGCCTGTGTTCACTGAGCCCTTGTTGGCCACAGGATATGCAGATGAGTCTGTGGTGGTGTATGGAAGACACTGCAACAAAAGTTTTTGGTGTCTCTGGTGAGGAAGGCATCATGCTAGGCATGGGACAGATGCAAAGATGAGGAAGATGCTGTCCCTTAGACAACCAGGAGAGAGAACTTGTGAGCAAATTAGGATGCTACGTTTTAGCTGAGGAAAATGTGTGTCCAGGGCCCTGGGGAGCAGAGAGGACAGATACCCAGTCTGGAAAGAAGAGTTTTTCAGGAAGGGGAAAGTTGAATTGGGTCTTGAAAGTGAATTTGTTCACCCCATGGTCAAGGGGGAAGGGAAGGCATTGAATTCCAAGCAGAGTAAATGGCATATGCAAAGGCAGAAAAGAAGATAGCATACTTGGGGAAAGGGGGTTCCCCGAATATGATGGAGCCTGGGTTGCCTGGTGGGGAGGTAGCCCAAGAAGTGAATAAGGACCAGCCTGTGTGTCAGATTGCAATGTTTGGGCATCACCTAAGGGCAGACAGAATTTGCTAAGCGGAGGAACAACCTGACAAGGTCTCTGCTTTACAGAGACGGTGCAATTGGGGAGCCTGGAGGCAGGAGACCACTGAGGAGCAGCCAAAATAGACCAGGAGAAAATAAGTCTGATCTTGAGCAGAGGCAGTAGGGAGAGAAAGATAATGCTGCCTTTCCTGACCCTGAGTTCCAGAGGTGGCTTTTTGAGTTGTTTCCCTTAATGGGCCAGGCACCGGCCAGACACACAACTAGAGGAGGCAATTTGTTGCAACAGAACCTGGAAACCCAGGTCCCTCATTCAGCTTCTAAAAGACAATTCCCTTTTTGACTGGTGACTTGAAGACATACCCTTCTCCTGTTTGTTGAGGCGGGGGACCAGGACTGGCCTGTCATTATGCAAAAAGGGAGGTCTGATGTGTACCAATCATAAATTCCATGATTACAAAAGGCACATGAACGCTTAGCCTCAATTTCCTCATCCTAAAAAAGGGAGATCATCCCTCACTTTGTGGAAGTCACAGGCCTATTCATTTGTTGCTTATTCAGTAAACATTTATGGAGCACACACCATGTGCCAAATCCTGTGCAAGGTGCTGGAGATGTTGATGAACGTACAGAACCTACCCCTGCCCTCAGCTTGCTAGGGGTGGAGGTGGGGGACGAAATCGGTCGGTCAACTATAAAGCCCTGCACCAGTCTCATTATTTTTCCACTTATCTCCCAATAAGGTTGTAATCGGGTTGACTCTTAGCTTCTTTATTTCCTTATCTCCACATCCTTCTCTTCCCCCTCTCCAGAGGATTCCTTATTCATATCCAGCTCAGGGTCTATGATTGGCTTTAACTACGAAAGGAGAAAAATTTGCTAGGGGAGGAGACCTCAGTATAAAAGAGGAAATAGGAGCAGAAAAAGCTGAGAATTCCTAAGCACACTTGACTTTCTTTAGTAAGTATTTCCCCCCCCCCCCCCCCCCCCCCCGCCCCAGTCTCTCTTCACTGCTCTTCTAGTCCACCCCTATTCCCCACCTTTAGTAGCTGCGGTCTCTTTAAATGCGCTCCTCCCTGTAAACTAGGCTGCGGGGCGGAGAGCGCGTTTCTTCCCCGGGTTGAATGTTAAGTTGTTTGTCCGTTTCGGCCTGCCGTCCTGCAGATCCGCCATATTGTCTGCTGAAGCTACCGCTGAAGCTGCCGCCGCTGCTGCTGCCGCCGCCAAGTAGGAGCGAGCGGAGCCGCGATGGGTGAGTAAGGACGCCAGGCAATTGGGGACTCGAGCTGAGGCAGTCCTGGGGCTTGGGGTCTAGTGGGAGCCTGTCTTCGGTCTGCAGAAGATGTCTGAGGCCCCTCCAAATAGGTCTGAGGGGAGAAGCCAGGCCGGGGGAGCCGCTCAGGCCAGTTTGGGGCCGGGCTAGGGCCCTTGCGGGAGCAGTCTTCGGGGGCTGGTTCCGGGAGCACCTTGCCACGCCTGGAGCCCCCACGTGGTGGCCCAGGGCTGGAGCCCACGCGTTCCCGGGGGCAGGAAAGGGGCCGCTCCTCTGGACTGCGCCGAGACCGGGGCTGGGGGGACGGGCTCCCGGCGGCAGGCCAGGGCGGCGTTGAGGGAGCCCTCTCCAGGCGTGTGTTTGACCGACGCGCATCTTGAGTGGATTCGGGGTCTCCTCTGAACTCAAGGGAGATCCTGCCTACGTCGCGAGTAGAGTCCTCTGGTGAGGGAACGCCAAGCTTGCCGGCTCCAGGCCCGTAACCAGGGGCAGCCATGCCGTAAGCAGCCCGGGCCGCTGAAGGCCGGCAGAACTTCCCGAGCCACGGGCGGAAATGGGGTGGTTCGGTTGGACTCAGAGTGACAGCCTAGTAGTAGAAAACCGTAGGTCAAGACCTTGGGGCCGTATGTAGTAGATTGGGGATTTCAGGTGTGGGCCTGGCCTTGGTTAGGAGAAAAGGAGCGACCTGTTGCTCTCTCTGAAGGGACTCTGGCTGGCAAGGCCTGTGCTCAGAGAGAATCCGATGGCTTGGCTAAGTCTTTGGACTTAGCGACAGAACCATCACTGAAGAGCTATTTCCTCTTCAGCATTAAAAACTATGCATCTTGTTAAGCTCTTCCTACGCGTGGGCATTGTTCTGACGGCTTTACATGTCACGTTTTACTTAATATGCACAATCTAATGAGACAGATACAACTGTTACCCCAATTTACATGTAAGGAAACTGAGACTTAGAGGTAAAGTAACTTACCCAAGGTCACACAGTCAGTGGCTAAACCAGGGTGATCCCTCCAGAGCCCTAGTGTATAGCTGCAGTTCTTTATGGCTTGGCCACCTAGTGGTTGGGCTGGAAAGGGGGGAAGAAAGCTTTTAACCCTAGGCAAAGTTGTAAAGGTGTTCTTTTGTGCTAGTGGGCCCGCTTTGAAATCTTTAGTCTGAATGAAACTGAAAAACTCCAAAGTGAATTGCTCACCCCAACTATTGTGTGTGGAGGGGAGAGCTAAATGAGATTCTGGGTTTGAGTTTTGTAAGAACCGTGATCCTGAGGAACCATAAATTATTCCCTTGAGTTGCAAGGCAATGGCTTTAGAATCAGATCTGGTATTATAATCCTGCCTGCCACTTTCTGGCTTTCTCGTCCAGAGAAATCATGTAAATATCAAATGCAGTAGAAAGCATCTAGCACAGTGCACAATAAATGTTATTTTCCTTTCCGATTCTTTCTTTTCCACATCTGTAGAAGAAGGGGAAAGGGAGTGTTATCAAGATGTTTTGAGGACTAAGATAACAGTGTTCAGAACCTAGTAAGGGCTCCACTGGCATCAGAACAGATTCTTTTCTACCTTCCTTCTAGCATTCCTTTCCCTTAAGCACTCCGGTTTCCAGAATCTACTGTCAAGCCTGATGGGCTTATCTTTGTAACTGCAGCTTTATGTATCAATGGAAAATTTAGGGGACTTTTATGTTACAGATTTTCTATTGGCTTTCAATTTTAGAAACACTGGTGTCTCAAAGGGAAGGAGCTAATGTTAAGTTTATTAAGCTCAGTGGAATAAGTTTATAGATTGGGAAACTCCCTCAGAGAAGATAACACAGCTAGTAAGTAGCAGAGCCAGAAGTGAGATCCTTACCCATTTTCCTATACAAAACCTTTTAGAAGAGTTAAGGTGTGAAGTAAAATTAGTCCCTTTCTGGTAGACTTTGAAATGAAAGTTCTTATTATATGGAGCAAAAAAGCCTGAGCAGGGTCCTGAAGGGGATTATTAGTCTAGGGTCAGGTGGCCTCCCTTTTTCTCTCCAACTCCATTTTAGGTACCTTTTCCCTGTCCCATTTGGTCTTTCTGAATGTCCAGCTATTGGTGTTCGTGTTTTTTGGTTGATCCTTATACATACGGTGTGAGTGAAACTGAGGATACATTTAATCCTAACATGGAATCCAAGGTAGTTTGGGTTATCCCCATTCATAAATGAGTAAACTGAGGCTTTGAGAAGATTAGGTGACTCATCCAAGGCTGGTGATCTAGGCCCTTTGTGTTCTGGGGATACTAACACAGCCCTCACCACACCTCCATGAATCTAGAACCTGCTGTATTTCACTGCCTCTCAGGTGTGCTCTACTCAAGCCCTACTATATCCTATACTCTTTGTCCTGTGCCAAAGTTCATTAGCTTTAACAGACTTTTGTAGTGATTTCACTGCCATTAGAAGCCTGTGGGGGTGATCCTTGCAGCTCTAGAAGTTACTTACTCTGACCCTCCCTAGCAGAGACCACAGTCTCTTAAAAACTAAGCTTTGGCAGACGCTGGTTGTTTTATCACCCATTCCTGCCATCTTGCTAACCAGGAATCTGGCAAGCCCCTCCCCAGCCCCAAGGATAGGACTTGATTAAATAAACTATTAACCAGTCATTGTAATTCTATCTCCCTAGGCAGTGATTGATTTAGGCTTGGGTATGTGTTGCAGCTCTGGCTAATTAGACAAGAAGGGAAGCCTGGGGGACTTCTGGCAAAGACTTCCTTATTTAAAAGAGATTTGCCAGGTTTTATTTTACTATTTTTTTTTTTTTTGCCAGCTTCTTCTGTTTTAACTTGGGTATCACCAAAGTATGAGAGCCTCAAAAAAAAGAAGAGAGATGGGCAAGCTGTAATAATAGCCAGCACTTAAATAGAACTTGCTATGTGCTAGGCACTATGTACTATAATATTAACTCCTTTACTTCTCAGATTCTCATGTTGTAGTTGAGGAAACTGAAGCATAGAGAAGTTCAGTAACTTGTGAAA